TGCTGTATCTCGTATCCGGGAAACAATAAAATACGACGACACATGGAGTGCTTCTTTACGCCGCGGGAAAACAACGCAGCGTTTGATTTTGCTGCAAAGGAATGCTGTGACATTCTGGTGAATCAAATAGGCGATCGTCTGCGCACTGAACACCTTGCCGCGTTCTCTTTGATGAACCCCAAAAATTTTTCAAAATTTGCACGTCAATTTCCCATCCATTTGTTGGCTACTGTCTCCAAATTTTACCCCATGATAAACGTGGGTAAATTGGAAAATGAATTGCCAATCAAACTTTTTCGAACATCACATCAACTTGCGCGCTCTATGGGTTCCTCATAGATAACACTCTAGTACAGTGGTTCTTAAACTTTTTCGAGCGCGACCCAAATCTGAGTTTTATGAATACTCGCGACCCAATCCTAAATAACGCAAAATGTGTTTTTAATGTTAGTACAGTTTGACTCAAATACAGACAACTATTTATTAGAAACAGTCCATTGACTCAGTGAGATTGATGAAACTGAAATTTCCTTTTCATCAAATCTTCAATACACAGCTCTATTTTACTTAACGCAATACGCAAGTTGTCACGGGTATCGAGGCGATTGCGAGCTTAGTTTTGATAACCGTCAGTGCCAAATATCCTCGCTCGCACAAGTGCCTTGTCGGAATTGTAGCAGAAAAGGCGTCCGCTGTCCGTCGCAAACACGACATCCTAGCTGGCCTTCGGTATCTCTCGCAATATACAACTTTTTACTCATCAAATGTGCACACACTGCTTCGTTCGCGGTAAATGGTGCCTGGAGATGAAGTCACATTTTCTCTAGATATTGAATAATCTAATGTCGAGAAGCGAGCTTTTTCATTGCGTCGTCTATTACAATTTACATTACCAAAAAGACACCCATTTTTGGTTATTTTAATCCACTAAGACGACATTCCACGGGGTCAACACAACGATAAGCGACGTGCATGGTTACCGATACCATAAAAATAATACACGTGACTGGCATATCAGAATTGTGATGTAACAATGAGCTCAAGACAGTTCTTTTCGTGAATGAAATTTTATATTTCATTATTTTTAAATACCAGAGTTTAGAAGCTAAATTGAAACATTGGGAAATCTGAAAATTCTTCCCTCTCCTCTTAGATTGTCCTTGCATTGACGACCTTGTCGCGACCCATTTTTAAACCTTCCGCGACCCATGTTTGGGTCGCGACCCATACTTTAAGAACCACTGCTCTAGTAACTACCTTTGCGGCGTCTGCAAAATTTCTGTACATCATTTTGACGACGCCTATTTCTCCCGCCGACGCAGAGCGAACATTCAGCACGCTGAAGCGTATTAAAACGTATCTCAGAAACACAATGAAGCAAGATAGATTAAATTCCTTGGCTGTTTCATCCATTCACAGAGACGTTATTTCTGGGATGAATGACTTTAATCAGCGCGTTATTGAGCCTTTTGCTTCCATGAAACCGCGGCGTGTTGCATATATGTTCAAGCAGTAGAAGTCTAGCAGCATATATATCTATGAGTCAGCGACGCATGTCCTTATCTTTGCATAACTTTCCTTTCTTCATAGTAACGTTTTAAACCTTATTTTAGGTTTTGTCTGCTTTCCCGAAGTTTCTGTTAATATGGGGCTCGACTCCTCATAAAGTTTTTTCTAAGGACTTAGGAATAATAAACGGATTTTATTTAAAAAAAAAATAGTATCAAATTCAGAAAATTGATGGGGATTCCACGACGAGTTCGGTGTATATTATATATATATTTATTTCACTCGAGAGGATAAGATTTGTTGGTGACCTATTTATCAGAATTTTTCTTATCTGTGAAATGATTTTTGGGCAACATGAGAAATTACGACTGAGATAGATTTCTGTCCCCTTCAGCTGACAATCCGCGGATATGTTTAAAAATCTGATATATATATATATATATATATGAATAATAATTCGAAAAATCGACGGAACATGTCAATCTACCGCAGAAACAATAAATTAAAATACACAGCAGCAGTCGCCCAACAGGACGCGCTGTTGAGACTCTTATGAATGTTGACCGCGTAGTATTACCGACACACAGAAGTCATTTTCGAACCCGGAAAAGTTATAATATTCACAGTTGACTCCACTGGTATTTTAATTGTTATAAACTTTAGCAAACTTCATTTTATAGGTCATGTAAATATATTGCACTGATTTTATGAGGCAGTTGTTCAACGATCCATACAAGAATCGATCCTCTGGTGTATCATTATGGCACTTTATTATTTTTCAAGGATACTTATATTTTTTGCGCTTAAGCGGACACATGCTATTTGATGAGAAAATAAATTGCCAAAATTAGTTATAAAACTGTAAACAGTTATATTACGACATAGCCTACTACGTTTGAAATAAATCGTCTGGCTGGAGTTAGTTATTCCGCGATTAAATTATAAATAATGCACAATCATTCTTTTCTTTGTCGTTTTTTGTGTTAAAAGGGGCAATCAGAACAAAAAAAATGTCTGTATTCATAAACGTAACATACCGTATTCATTTAATCATGCGGAGGGAGGTCTTTAAACCTGATATCTCCCTCCAAAAATTTACACCATATTTAGGTAACTGTTTGGATTAGCTTTTGATAGCTTAATTACGTAATTATCCAAAAAGATTTATGAATCACTAACAGCGGTAGAGCAATGTCACAGCCGATTATTAAAATTGCCCATGATTAAAAATATGACCATAGCTCAACAATCTGGTTTTGAGTTTTTGTGAAGCAGCAATTATGGCTCAATAATTATGATCTCTTAGAATAATATCGATTACATATTACAACACTAAATCTATCCTGTTTTTGGTGAAATATAGGAACTATTTTCTCAACATGAGCCGACATACATACGCACAATCCTAAACTTGGGGCCCAAAGAAAAAGATACAAAATTTTTTTAGCTTTTTCTTCGTATAAAGAAGAACTCACTCTCCTATCTTCGTAAAATTTGACTTCTCGTTAGGAAATGTCAATGTCAACAAAAAACAATGCTTTCTTGGTGTCTAGCTTGAATCCGTATTCACCAGATTATCTCAAAGAAAAGCGCTTGAGTTTCAAAATCAAAAATATGTATCGTTCTCCTCATTTTCTTTGAACGGCTATTTCGGGTTACGGCTAAAACGTTGTTCAAGTTTATTCGGTCGTATAACGCTCAACTCAATTTATATTATATAAGGTGGTGCACATGCTGTTTTATGTATTTTTATATTGTTGAGCAGAACCCGATCAAGAATTAAGAAAATATACGAGAAAGGTGTATTTAACAATGATAGTATATAGTCTACTAATTATTTAACGAGGCCGTGAAAATTTGACATATATAATATACAAATGGGAGAGGAGAGCAATCTTCAACTCCGTCCCTTGTTGAAAATACGGAACTTGATAATAATCACTAAATTCAAGATAAGAATTTCATGCATAAGTCCTGATATTTAAAAATTGAAAGGTTAAGTAGTGAATGAATAACTTTGAATTGATTTTGTTACAATGATAAAGCACAGTACACTACAGTGTTCTGTCATGTTATCCATTTTGAGTAATTTCTTATAATAATCGGCAACGTATATCTCAAGTATTTTGAGAAGATACCATTAACAGCTTAGAAGTGATATATAACATGAGAAAACCGTTTATCAAGATGTTGAATCGCATGGAAATTTTGTATATGCTTCAAGTGCATTTGAATAAATATAGTGGAACCGTTTCAAAAAATTTCAACTAAGAGTGTAATTTATAATTCGGTAGTTATACACTTTAATTTAACCTTTTTGTGCGTTTTCATTGTGGTGAATTGAAACTCTTATATTCTGAATGCAATGATTGTGTTTATTGTATTGAAAAATCTCACAAACGTTGTTTGCACTAAAGCACAAATTCATACACAATCTATACCCTACAACTTCGCCGACGGCAAAATAAACACGACATACTTCGTGTAAAGCTCGTGCTAAAGGCCGTGACTCGAGTGTGCAACGTATGGAAATTAGCGTGTGTTTATAAAATACAGGTAAACGTAAAAATGAGCGTAATATTTACTCAAACCTACTTATAGCAATGTAATATTTTCGCCTTTTTACCACCCGGAAGGAAATATTTGATCTTCGGTGTATCGCTACGCACTATAGGATTTAATTTACATATTTATCTCGGGAGAAAGAAAAAATGATAAGACGGCTTAATCATAGAGCGAACCACGGTCTCTCGTCCGGTTACCAGTCCAGAAACCTAAGCAGTCAGAAGAGGTATTACGTTTTGATCTGTGTGTTTGTGTGGATCTCAGGATTTGTGAAATGACTTCTCGGGTAGATTCTACCAATGCACGGCCTAGGTCAGAACGGTGGTATAATTTCAGCATGTTAAGGTTACGGATTATAAATATAGTTGTTTCGGTCTCGCCTATGTAGTTATCTGCTGTAGATATCGACCAGAACTCGATCTGGTTGGTTATTTATTTCCACGCAGAGGAATGATTGGTAAATGGACGAGAGGCCACAGCGATAATTCGATTTTACAGGCAGGCTAAATACCCACTTGTGCAACATCGACAGAACGGGAATTCCAGTGTGATCACAAACACTATGTTGACTTGAGCAACATTCGATTTTCACTCCACGTACGTGGTCAAATGGCCAGTTCTGTGTTTGTAGCGCTGTTGACTCCATTTTTGCACGGGATAAGTATAAAATCCAATCATGTCTTTGAGGCCTTCAAAGCGCCATGTCGCCAAGTGCCCCCGGCCATCACCGCGTGAGTGTCTTCTAATTGAGATCATTCAGTTTAATACAAAATAGGATAAGAGTGCATACAACATGACTACGGGTATTTATACTTCGCGTGAGAACAATTTCGATTTCAAACCGGCAATACCGGGAAAGTTTTCAGACGCATGTCGTGCATCTTGTATTGTCGGTAATCTCGGGCGCTCCTCGCTCGTCAAGTGTTTATGACGCAATAACTCATCACAATGGTTTCGTTCTCACTCGTATGATAAGCTATTGCGTTACGTACTGGACGGGGTGTTGGTCCCGGTAGTTTCTTTTTTCTTTTGGTGAATTTAGGTAAAGTTAGGCGTCTTTTATATATTCAAGTGATGGCTTTGAATAGGTTTTAGTCTGAAAGTGACGGCGTTGAGCGTATTTGCACTGCCAAGTGAAAGCCCAAGTTTGGGTTCCATTTTGCTTATTTCACTACCGTGCTACTTCTGTACTTTATATCACATCTTACTTTGTCACATTCAAAGAACTGAGCTTTATATACGTACTAACCATAAATTACTTCGGTCGGAAGTGGACAAGAACTCAACCGTATTACAATATTAATATTAACAGGTATGAATTTATTTGAAAGTTTTAAATTTATCAAATAACTACCGGTATCTGACTATTCTGGTGGAGGCAACAGTAAACTACTGAACTATCAGCCAATTATTTAAATTAGATCTAATTGAGAAGTAAAGCACATTTTTTTGGCCTTTACTTGGGACAGTCAGACAGTTCAATGTCTGACAATCTTTGTTTGATATAATCTGTAAATTCGTTGTCATCACCTCAATATAAATTCAGGAAGGGGTAGAATTGGTGCCAGTATCTGCCAGTTGAGCAGTTTTATAAATTTAGGAATTAAGACCTAAAACATAAAAATTTCTCGCCCCTTTTGTAAGGACCTGATGCCGCATTACAATCTTTAGATTTTGATCATATTCAAATTGTTCTTATATTTCGTTTAGACAAAATGCCTTCTTCACATTTATTAAACAAGACAGCCAGGTCTGATTATATGGCTCTTGACATCGGAGAAAGCTGCCAAGCAATGTACATATGGATTGATGGTACCGGACAAACACTCAGAGTCAAAACAAAAACACTTCCCAGAGAACCAATATCTATAGAAGGTTAGTTTATTTCACTCATTTATTTTTTTATCATTCTTATTATATAAGATTGTGAACACGAATCAAAACTAGTTTCATCTATGAATGAAAACAATATTACGATATATTAATTTATATATAAAGTATAACAGTATAAAGTGATTTCAATTACAAATACCCTAAATCATTGACTTTCATAATGGGTAGTTTTAATTGAAATAACTCGAATTATGGTTTCAAAAATATTGAGTTTGACAAACTATAAATTTCCTATTTATCACAGCTAATTGTCTGTACCTTTTTCAGAAATCCCGGAATGGAATTTTGATGGTTCAAGTACCGGACAAGCAGAAGGATCAAACAGTGATTGTTTTTTGAAACCTGTGGCAATGTTTAGAGATCCATTCAGAGGAGATCCTAATAAATTAATTCTTTGTGAAGTTTTGAACTATAAACATGAACCAGTAGGTTAGTAATTTGTATTGTTTTGCTATTTGACAACAGTAGAAATTATTTTCTTTTTGTATTTAGAGAATTACTTTCGATCAGAACTGTTTTTATTTTAGTAATCTGGCTGATTATTTCTTTCTTGGATCTTAAAGTTATTTGTAAATTACCCAATTATTTATTTCCAAATTTTAAATAAATTTTCTCAGCTACAAATCACAGGCATTCATGTCTGCAAGTAATGGAAGAAGCAAAGATTGCTCGACCTTGGTTTGGAATTGAACAAGAATACACATTACTTGACGTTGATGGACATCCATTTGGTTGGCCTAAACAGGGTTATCCTGGCCCACAAGGTAAGAATAAGAGAAACATATTCAAAATGTATGGGCTAATTCGTAATAGATAGTTTTTTCAGTCCACTGATATCCACTAAAATGTATTCCATTTCATCTATTTTACAATACTTTTTAAACTAAATTTATATGGTAATCCAAATACATGGCTTATTGCATAGGCTATATAGGAATTAAAATTAGAATGTTCTTTTATATTGTATATTTTTTATTACTTTTGTCTTTCATGGTTTATTTTAGCACAATACATAACTTGAATACATAACTTGAACTCGATTTAGAATAATATATTAAATATTTCATTTAGCACATACTTGCTGATATTCAGTTCTCTATTGTAATAAACCTTTCACATATGTAGGCCTATGTATTGTTTTACGTGTTTGAAAGTTTTGCAGCTTATGTATGTTTGAATTTTGTAATGTCTGCAAATATTTTATTCAACCGGTTCAGACTATTGGTGTTTGTTCTGCTGAGTTCAGTGGTGGTTTATTTCACCTGATCACACAACCAGACCTGTGTAGTGGTGGACATCTGTTTTAATATATTGCCGAGATACCGTCATGCTATACTAATAATATTTACATATGTGTTTAAATGGCAATAAAAAATTATTTTTATGGTGAATGAATCTTTTTATGCTGATTGAATTATTGTTTAATTGAATTGACTTAGAAAAGTCAACATAATCATTAAATACTCATAAATGATGATTGCATAACATGTCATTATATTACATGCTATACCAGACACAAACTCATTTTTTAATATTCACACTTAATTTTACATACATGTTGAACATTTTCTGAGAATTGAAATCAAAGGCTGTAAAATATTGATTTTATTTTCAGTGATGCGAAAATAAATTTATCCTCTGGACAAACAAATATTCTTAATAAATATTATCAAAAGGAAAACAATTTTGTATTTATCAAATTGAAAAAAAATAAGATAAGTTCTTGCCCGAAAGCTTGTTGTTGCTAATTGACAATTATGCATTTAAAGTGTTGATGGGAATGGTGGTTCAAATGTGCTAATTGCATTTCCAAATATGATATTAGCCGAGTTCAGATGCAAATGTCATTAAAACTATGTATTTGTCCTTTCAATTTCTTTGTTACTTTACCTGTTCGCCTACTTCAAATTGGGAGTATTTGCTGAATGTAAATAAAACTTTACCATCTTCTGCATACTTGTAGCATGAATGGGTTTCCCTTATTTGAGCAAATCATGTTGAGAAATGCAGATTCAGCACAAAGTTGGACTTTGGCCGCTTGCCTCACCCAATGAAAAAAACATGGTTTATTGTATTGTCATCTTTGCTTATTATATATAACAATTGTAAATTGTGTTGACATTTGTTTCTCAAATAGAAATAGGATAATGCGAAGTTGCATTTTTTTTTTTGGTTATTTAGGTGTCATTTTGTGGATGTCATATGGATTGTGTTACGAAATGATTCTCTTTATTCATCTCTATTGATCTGTGCATGGTTGCATAATATGTAGTTAAAAATTTGTTGAAACAAAAAAACAAAATCTTACTTCACTTATTACAGCCTACAGGTTCCACGAAGCTACTTTTATCAAAATTTCTGTTAAATATTTATCGTTTTTCATTTCAGGACCTTATTATTGTGGAGTTGGCACTGGTCGAGTGTATGGCCGAGATGTTGTCGAAGCCCATTATCGAGCCTGTCTTTATGCTGGCATTAGGATTTGTGGCACAAATGCAGAAGTAATGCCAGCACAATGGGAATATCAGGTATTTTTATTAAACGTTCTCTTTTTTAATATATTGTTAGCTTTGTATTTGTAAGTCGTGAAGAAAAAGGTGAATGAATTGAAAAGCATTTAGTTAATATCAGATATAATTTAAGTGATTAAGCAAGTTATTAATCCAGTCAACTCTTTATTTGACTGTATCTGTCATGTTAAATGGTGATATACATTCAAAGGATGTTAAAAATGGTTCAGTCAAGACTTCTCAGTCATTAACCTAATTTTGTTCCATGTATTGTTTTGGCAAACTATCAAGATTGATAGTTGTCACCCATGTTTTATAAAACATTTTATAAATAAAATGATGAACAAATTAAAAAAGATTTCATTTTAAACATTTTTTAATCTGAAATTGTGAAGTGATGGCCATGAAATAATTCAGATAAAGGGAATTGTTTGTGATGTACTGCATACTGTGATGTACTTGTGATACGTTACCCCTTATGCACACCTACATTATCAACCAATGTATTTTCTAGTTTGAAAATGTTATTCAACCTTTTGAAATAGAAAACATGTTTTCTGTATGCTCAGATTAGAGCATAAAACTCCCTTGCTATGCCTTGTTGATTATGTATGTAAAGAAATAGGGCATGTCAGAGTAAACAATAGCTCTGTATTTATAAATTTAATCTGGTACTTGTCTGGGGATAGTTCCGGGTTCAATGAGGGGAAGAAGTATACGTTGGTTTTTCTTTCAATTGCGTCACTAATGTTTACCTGCTCCGTATCCTATTTATCATATAAAATTCACCTATGGGTCGATACTCTCGTATTCTCCTTTGTTTCTTAATAAAATGAGAGTTCTTGATGCGGTTGATAACGGCTTCCTAACCGAAGTTCCTATCTATACTTTCATATTTAGAAATGCTCGTATAATTTTTTGTAAATTCATTAAACATTGATGGGAGGGAGAATTACTGGTGAACAATCCTCAAGTTATGTGACAAGTTTATTGTCATTAGTCATTACAAATTATATAGGGTAGTTATGATTTGTTTAAATATAATCAAATATGGGTGTTGGTGAAACATGCTTACAGGCATGCTTGATCTATAGATCATGCTTGGATGAAGTAAAAAAGAAACTCTAAGTGTACATCTACTAGTCAAACAGACAACCATAAAATATGTGGGTTTCATTCCACTAACGTCATGGAGTCAACTTATCCCGGTGATCTATTTATGCAAATAATGATCCAGTGCGAATCTTTTGAACTTTTAATGACTGTATGACTCTTTTGGTGAATGGTCTATGACGCAACGTGAAATGAGCTGGTTGTTGCTATGTTACATTTCCGTGTTATTAAAATGAAGTTTTGTCACTGTACAGTTTTTTTGATCCTCGAACATTTTAGTTTGGCAATGTACTTCATTAATAACGAATTTGCCCTATCTAATTATGTATTAATTTGGACATTCACATTGATATCAAACAAAATTTGGTAAAATACTAATGGCTGTAACATAGTATTATCTAATTAAAGCTTTAACGCTATATCTAAAATCAATCATTTCTGTCAATATGCCGGCATGACGTAGGCTATATTGATTCATTAATTATATTTTTGACAATCAATAAAATAGCTGTTATGTATAGTCAACTATAGTATTGATCAATATGTATAACGTATGCTAAAACATAATAACATGATGAAAAAATATATTTTATCATTTTTTGGGGTATTGACTTCATTCTTAAACTCTTTGAAATATGTGAAAGGCTCTTGTAACTTGTAGTACAATTCAGAATATTTTACTCTTGGTTTTCTGTTTTTTAAATTTTAACATTCATCTGTACATTTTTTTATTTCTTATCAGGTTGGAACTTGTGAAGGTGTTGAGATGGGGGACCATTTAATAGTGTCTCGATTTCTCCTTCATCGTGTCTGTGAAGACTTCGGTATCATCGCTTCTTTTGACCCCAAACCAATGCCAGGCGATTGGAATGGTGCAGGTTGCCATACAAATTACAGCACAGAAGAAATGAGAAATCCTGGTGGCATAAGGTTAGAATAGTGTTTTCAACCTTGGTAGAGCAAAACCCTGATGAAACGTTCCAGACAATCGAGGCACCTTTGTGCAACAGTTTAATTTTCCTAGGCAAAAAATATCATTTCATAAATAAAATCATATAAGAGCAAACCTAATACTAGCAAATCAAGATGATTTTTAAAGTGTAGCAAGCTTAATATAAGTGGCAAACCTAAAGGGGATTTCATGTTATTATATGTTAGTGTTCTTTATACAAGTAAACAGGAAATTGTTAAAGTTGTTACTTGTTTTACAATGGTTTCAACGTCCATTTTATGACACCAGACCTGATGACTCATTTTTACATATCACAGTGCAATAAACAAGGCTGTTGAGAAATTGAGTAAGAGACATTTCTGGCATATAAAAAAATATGACCCAACTGGAGGCAAAGATAATGCCAGACGATTAACAGGGAATCATGAGACTGCTTCTATTTTTGACTTCTCTTCTGGTGTAGCCAACCGTGGTGCTTCGATACGAATACCTAGACATGTAAGCATTATTTTCTTCCTCATATCTTGAAATAGAATGTTTGTCCGATAAACTCTTTTTTATGTTTGTATAACATTGGCTTTCCTTAAACTCCATCAAATTATAATTGATTTCCAAATCTAATTAGATAGCTACTATACCTAGAAATTCAAAATTCATTAATAATAATTGCTGTATTTATAGGTTATTTGGTTGGAAAAGTCAACTATTGCCTTTGGAATTAGTTACATGAAAATAATTTAATATAGTTTGTTTCGAATTTTATGTAACAGTCAAATTTTAATAAGTACTTTAGTTGGAAAATCTCGTTGAAAGCATTCTAAACCAGTTACCTAGAATAACAAGTCTTAAAATACAATATCACATAATTAGGGTTTCACTGAAATGTCACTTACTTACAAATTGCTCATGTATTACATGTTTTTGTGGGAAGCACCACTCCTTGTTCTGAAAATAACAGTTCATGAGTTCATTTTTGATTGAATGTTCTGTACTTTCAACATAGTGATCAAGGATTCATTTAATATATGTTTGTCCCAACATTAGAGAAAAAAAAACACTTGAAAGTGGTGTATTCTAAAGGCTGTTATGCAATAAAAAAATTAACAACTAAATGTGTATTCCAATTGAATTGAATATCAATTATTAGATCTGCAATGCGTATTCTAATTGAATTCAATATGGCAATATCTATTATTAGATTTAGAATGCATATTCCAATTAAATTGAATATATATTATTAGACTAGGTGACTGACATGAGCCAACTATATTCTTATAGGAGCATATGGTATCCTATTAATATACCAAACAATGATGCCTCCCAAACACATTGTGACCATAAAGTGTGTCATGAATCTGGACTGAGTTTTTTCAATCAAATCTGTTTTTTTTCAAATTATCTGGATCCAATATTTGGTATGAAGAGTTGATAAGGCATATCCCAGATTCCATGTGGTTGACAATGTAATACAAATAAAAAAAAAAATACTGCTTTTATTTTGCTACCATAGTAATGCATGTTCCAAAATGATGTTGATAAATTAATTATAATGACAACTGACAAGTCTACTTCATAACTACATTGCCCATCGATCATCGCTGTTTACTGGTAAAACAAGAAATTATGCTAAAATATAAATTAACTCATAACTGCATTACCATATGTATGGTGACATGTAATTGCTGAAATAGTCATCTGGTTACATGTTGGACATGTTGTTTCTAATAGTAATTCTGATGCACTCCATGATATGCTGAGTGCTCTTTATAGTTTTGTTGTGACAGGGGTGCCAGTAAACATCGTCTGACGAAACACTTTATCAGGGAAAAGACCCCTGGAACAGGAAAATAATACTAATTTATATGAGAATTCAAGGTTTCAAAACAGTAACTGTTAATAGAACCAAAACCTACCCAGCGTCCACATCCTTTCCCGCTAAATATTTCTATGATATTATATAGTATACAATATTATGGTTCAGCCAAGATAATGTTGAGTTGTCTTGTATGTATTAATGAAATCAAATACTTTTTTGGAGGGTTGCAATTAACAAGTGGTCTTATTCTCTATATAATAGGTTGGAGAGGAGAAATGTGGTTACATGGAAGACAGAAGACCTTCTTCTAACTGCGATCCATATGTTGTTACTGAAGCCTTAGTGAGAACTACTGTACTCAATGAAACAGGAGAGCTCGAAGATTTCTGTATCTAGTTTTGACATTATTTGAATTCTACATTCCTCTGCTGCTTTGTATTGGTGTTATGTATACATCTTTGTAATCACCTAGTTCTGGACATATTCTATATAAAAAATTTGTTTGCTTGTCTATTTCTGAAAAAGTACGATACCGGTACGAACTGCTATTGTTTTAGCCTTTTCAGATGCTGGTACCATCTCTTAGATAACGAATTTGTACATAGATCCATTACAGCCATATTGGTTTTTGCACGTTGAAGATGCTTTCACAGGTGCAATTTTAATGCTTAATATTTCCCCATTTTAGGCTAATGTATCATCCCATACTTTTTTTCTTGTGCGCTCATCTTGCAACCGGTAGCTTTGCATTATATTGTGAAAGGCCCCCTATTAGGTTCTATATACTTCTTTTGCACACTTATGCAATGCTTGCAACCTATTCATATTATGAGGATCACTGTTTTAATGTTGTCCTTACTCATTATGAAAACTGTAGCGTAGATGCATTTCTGCTTTGAAAATGAGTGGCCCATTTTGTGAACTCACTAAATATGGTTACTATATTACTTAAGTATAGGATGTTACTTATGTGTAAATATGTATTCTTTATGTGCCTCAAATAAAAATAAACGATTTCTGCACCGCAATATATGTACATTGATTAAATCCAGCGGCTTATTGACTTGAAATGAAACCAGTTAGATTAAAAAATGATGAATATGATTTGTGCGGCCACCATTTGTGAAAAAGGGGTCTGGTATTTAGGTTGCCCGAAGACTAATAATTTAGGAAAATACCAATGATACTAGTTGTTTATCGTACTTCGTTGTTTTAACCCACTCTGGAAACTTTATATGCCGTTGCCAGAAAGGAAATATATTCCAATGAATCGTTGTGTAGTTTGATAAACAAAATTGAGACTTTGACGCATGGTACGACACTGATCAAAAATACCGCCGGAAATTGTAACACAAGCTGAGGCTAGAAACGCTCACGTCACGAAGTATATCTTTGATGGTTCAAAATTAGGCCATAGCCTACATGAAATTTGTCTTGTCGAAGAGGTGCGTGTACCATGATAAAAAAAAGTGGACAACTGGACACGAACTTTTTGTTAGCGAACTGAGCGCGAGAGAGTGGAACTGTTGGCGAACAAAAACTGAAGTAAGGTTCAGAGCGCACAGAATTTGAGTTTAATGGTTTGCTAAAAAAAATACGGTATGTGAACAAACTCAACATTCTTGTTTCCCCCTGAACACGCACGACGAATTTCAGCTTCTCCAGAGATATTATGAACTTTTTGCATTTCAACACCGTGTATTCCAATCAAAAACAAAAGAGCAATGCCCAACTATATCGTTATTCGCTGCCAATATAAGATTTACAGGTTCGTGGTGTTTATTAGTATAATAGTAGGCCTATAACTAAATTTAAAATCTGAAACGGAAGGACAACTTAATCAATTGACATCTAAATTGAACTTAATGGAAGTTCGAATCACAAAGAATTTGAAACTGGAAATTAAAGCTATCGTGGAAGGGATTTGATAGATGATTCTATTAGTTAGTCGAATTCCGAGAAGAAATAGCTCAAAAACTGGAATTATCATTGTAAGATTCACAAATAGAAATAAAAGAAATCAGTTTATATATATCCAAGAAATACAAAACTTTAGATGTAAGAGACTTCGAAAAAACAGGTGTGAATAAGGATTTGGTCAATAAGAATTGTTTCAAAACAATTGTTTTTAATCAAGTTTTTTTGTTGCCTGTTTTGTTCAAAATGGCTGTACTATTTGATTTTTTTGTATTAAATAGGTTGAAGAAAAATGGATGTAAAAACTTGCCAAGCGCTTCTTATATGTAATAAATCTTTCAAAACGCCACAAATATCGATAGAGGCTCATGTACACCTTCTCAAGCTGTAGTTCAGTGGTTGGCGCAGAGGCAACCGATAAGCCATTACGTGAACGACCCTGCTGCGATGAAACCACATTGCGAAAATTGAAATGCGATCGAATAAATGAGTTTGTATAACCTTGAACAACTCACTTCAATCTTAAAAAACAAAGTATGCTAAGCATAAGTTAACCGAACAGTATTAATCGTAACAATGACTTCATTTTATGAGAAAAATGTCAATACATGACCTCGAAATCCATATTATGGCGTCATAACAGATTAGTTGTGGCGTCTTTACATCAGAGGACTCTTTCAATTAACATACGGTAGGCTGGGTTAGGGTGTCTCATCGTTCATATCAGTAGATTACCGCCGATATAAGCATATTCTTCATTATCGCAACCCACTCGTTTTGCCGAAGTGCTGCACTTGATCGAATTGCTTTTGTAGTAGGCTCGTGAGCTAATTTTCATGATTTTTCTTACTCAAAATGTCTCTCTGATATATCGGTTAAACATTCCGGGTAAAATCATATGACTTTGGTGGAGATATATAAAGTGGCGATAAATGTACGTAATAGTGGTAAAAGTCGAAATAAAAAATTTTACTTACATTTTTGAAGTTATAATTCCGACTGCGTGTGCAGCTGCCAGAATGCAACGTTTTGGCGTAGTTTCGCGGCGATGCAATGGGGTATTTCAATAAAAAATACAGAAAAAATTTGATTTAAAACAAGCCCTTGTTTTAAAACACGATGTTTTTTTAGAATTGATAAAAAAACAAAACCCTAGGTGTGAAGTCTCTATACATTAATGAAAACCCCACACATTATCGAAACAACCTATTATATAATGCCAGACTAGCCAAAATGTATAAGAGGCTCTGAACAACTAATGGAAATATTTACATGAAAAAAAAAGTTATTCCCAGAATTCCTGTAGCTAAACTCTCAGATATTAAAAAACTCTCATTAACTGGTTGTGTGTGAAAATAATGTTTATTTTTTGATGAGCAAAATGGCCGATCAAAAATTTTGCTCTAATTGTTCCAAAATTTTGCTTAAATATAGTCTCAGCGTTTTTTTGCCATGGTTGTACAGGATCATTTTTAAATTGGCCAAAAACAATAGACAGACAACAGGAATAAGATGATACTCTTGACACATCAGATTTCAATTTTCAAAATGTCAAACCATACGTTTCAAATGATTTATCTAAAACGTGTGAGAGAAGAAAACATTATTTATAAGTGAATGGATATATTTAAGTTTTCACATTTTGTATAATTGAAAATCTCGTAATTCTCTATTTTGTAATTTTGTTTTTGATAAATGAGAATAAAAGACATCTCCCGAAAATAAGCCCTATATTCGAGGAAACACGGTTGTTTATCAAATTTCATGGTAACTTCGAGTCCCTTTTATTTTGTTACTCCGCTGAAAATTAGGAATTTAATCTTCAGTCACGTTTACTTATTCTGAAGAGATCTGGTGCACTTAACGTCTGTTATTGAGAATACAATTTGACAAGGCTCAGTAGGAAATAAAATGCAGACATATAAATGCGCTTAGATGTTGACCTATACCGTCTAACAGGACTTAAATTTGATTAATACATCATCATTAAAGGCACTCTTTGTGCGTAAACTACTTGCAGTTCGCAAAATTTATAAAAACAGATATATTGGGTTGATTAAGGAATGAAAAAGTCGCTAATAACGCATGCGATTGCATTTTGTCGAAAAAGCTGATTGTTTTTGTCAGCGTGACGTGTTATTTAGGTCGTAAACAACTTTATTTCGGTGTTTATTCTACCGTGATCACAAATTTGCTTCGACATAAGTCTTGTGTCACCAGGACGATGATAATTCCTCTTTGCTCTCACACGGAACTCTGAGTTATTATACTTTATTTATCAGCGAAGAGATACTAAATATAAATAATAAAGTGAATCCGCAACCCAACTTGTAAAGAATGAAAAGGGAGCTCAAAAAATAGAGAATACTATAATATATATATGTTTTAGGATGGTCCGCATTACGATGGAGCAGAGTAAGTGTTGAAGGAACAGCTGAGATTTGTTGAATTTAAACAATATATAATCGGGCACCTCATATGTACCTGTAATATCTCACCTCACCTGTAATATATGTTTGTCCCAACATTAGAGGTAAAAAATCACTTGAAAGTCAGTAATTTATTTCTTGTTATCATTATATTTATTATTACGATGACTGTTTTTTTTTTATTGAATTTTATAAAACAAAAACAAGGAAATAAATAAATAGTAATATTACTCAATAACACAGACATCGGCATATTTTTTCATAACATGAACTAAACAGGTTCAATCAAATTATCCTACAGAATAAATATGAGAAAATTTTTTCGAAAATCTCACACTTTTATATATAAATTACATAAAGACTATAAATAAATAATGAGAAAAAAAAGAAAGAAAAATAATACAGTTGTCAGGTTTAAGCTAAGTAATCAAGGATTATGTATATGAATAAACGCCATTGTTCATCATTGTATTGTGTATCAGTGATTGTGTATTGTGATTTTACCATTTTTCATTGCTATATGTTTTTCATTGTTTCGAATATCAGAAATAAAATCATAAAACACATCAAAAACTGGTTTACGCTTTTGAATCCGACATCTATATATAAAGAAACGTGCAGCTAACAGCACACAGTTGATGAATTGCATATCAGGAATGTCATCGAAGCCTATAAAACATCCTTTCATTCCTAGGACAATTCATTGGTCTATGTCAGACAAAACTCACTGGTGATTGGACAATATTAAAATAAATGCAAAAGGGTTTCAATATGTAATTTACAAAATTCACAGAGGTTTGTTTCCACTAGTCCGAATCCATATAAAACATTACTGTATTCAGAACTATAGCTTTATAAAAAATTTCATTGAAAAGATCTAAGTTTTGTTTCAATATTTGATAAATATGAGTTTGTGAAATATTTATTCCATTCCACACAAGGGATATTGAAAGACTCCTGCCAAAAGGAATTGTTCATGTATGGTGGGACAAAATTTTCCCTATCATTCTTCTATGGCTCGGCGGTGTGGCGCATCGTGCTAAGCATTAGAAATACGCTCGCCACCGCCTCTCTGATTACCCTTCGTGGGATGATCGCAGGTTCGAATCCCATGCGGGGATGATCATGTGCGAGAGAATTGCTGGACTTCTCATCGCCGTAGGGTGGTTCACGTAACCGCTGGTCGGTTTCGGGTTCCTCCACCATCAAGTCCACAAATAACTGGTTAACTAATTCCATACAAGACCTCGACTGGTAACCGGACGGGAGGCCGTGGTTTGCCATATGATTGAGCCGTCTTATCGGCTTTTCTTTCACTTCTTTCTTAAATATGTAAATCCTATCCTATATGCATTTTTACATGAGAAGTTTTTTTGTAGTAGATGAAAGAAATGCACTAAAATCAAAATCATAAAAATCATCACATGATTGAACAACATTTCATTTCTCAGGAAGACTGTCTACGATTTTGTAATGAGTTCTATAATCATCAGCATCATATGACTTACAATATTTACTAATTAGCTCAAAATAAGTATAAAAAGAATTGCTAGAAATCAAATGATTCAATTCAGAAATACCATGCTCTTTCCATGTTGAAATATAAAAAGGTTTCCTACTGTATTGCATGTTTCTATTGTACCATATGAATTGATTAAGTATATGCACATTTGTAACAATATTTTT